AATCATCAACAGGAATATGCTGTGAATTGCCATGTTATTACCTGGGAACGAATCCTAAGTCATTTTGACATATTTGCTTTTGGGCATTTCTGGGGCTGGGCAATGAAGGCTTTGTTGATTCGCAGCTATGGATTGTGTTGGACTATTAGCATCACCTGGGAGCTGACAGAGGTAAGTTGGGTAATGGGCACTGAAAAAATATGAATGCACAGGGCACCTGCCATGAGTTGATGTTTGGTATGTGCCAAAGAATGCTGAGAGCTTCACTGCAGTTGACACCTTACAGAAGTCTTTCCCAATGGTGTTGTTGCAGAAATAAAAGGTATATGAAAAAGCACCTTTGGGATAAAAGGTATATCTTTGGAGTGAAATCTCTATTATATATCTATTTGGCAGCCTGAGTCAGATGTGGCAAAATGTGCCTACCTTTTCATTTATAAAGGAAATAAATTTATATAGGATACCTACGCATGTATGTGACATAAATGTGAAGTCCCTGCAGCTAGTTTTATGTGGCAAAATACAGTTCTAATTCTTTTCTGTAGAATTAGCTCAGCTACAGTTCTGAGTACTGTTCAAGGGCAGCCCTTTGCTACAGTGCCTTGGGGTAATCCAATAGATCACACCAAAGCCAACTCAGCAGGCTCATTCCTGAACTCAACAGTGATTGCTCCAAGTGATTTTATCTAACAGATGTCTCAAAAAATCTCAGTAGTCCTTTAGATTATTAAGGATTTCTGACACATCCTTCCCAAAGTGCCCAATATTTTCTTCTGAATACTTGTTAAAACCTTATTTTCTAGAGCATATGGAGACTTAAAACAGGAAATGCAATGTTAACTATTATTATATTCTGTTGTGTCCATCTGCATGGATCTATATTAAATTAGTTGAATTAAGTCCAGCTTTATACAGATGCTACCCTTCAAAAGCTTTCCCTGGTAATCAGTGAATTACTAGTATGACATGGATAAAAGGATAGAACATTGTTGAAAATACAAAACATTTTCTTTAAATTAGGGCATTAAATAAATAAAACTATCACTAGTATATCATAATTTATGATAAGACTAATTAAACAATATGCACATGTACATGTTGCTTAATTAGTCTTACCATAAATTATAATATGGTGTTTGTATGTATGTGGTATAAAGTATCATATGTTATGTGTTTGTATATGTGTGTGTATATGTTTTCAAATTCTGTTTTTTTGTGTTGAAAGGAATCAGAATGAATTTCTTACCAAAATTTCTGTTGTATTCTGTAGCTGTTCTTCATGCATCTGCTGCCGAATTTTGCTGAATGCTGGTGGGATCAAGTTATTTTGGATATCCTATTATGTAATGGAGGTGGCATCTGGTTGGGCATGGTGGTTTGCCGTTGGTTGGAGATGAGGACTTATCACTGGGCAAGCTTCAAGTAGGTCTCAAGTAGTATCCAATAAATACTGTCTTAATGAGATATATTGCAGTTTCATAGGAATACAGGTAGTCCTCATTTTATGACCACAATTGAACCCAAAATTTCTGTTGCTAAATGAGACATTTGTTAAGTGAGTTGTGTCCCATTTTATGACTTTTCTTGCCACAGTTGTTAAGTGAATCATTGCAATTGTTAAGTTAGCAACGTAATTGTTAAGTGGATCTGGCTTCCCCATTGGTTTTGCTTGTCAGAAGGTCGCAAAAGGTGTTCACGTGACCCTAGAGTACTGTGACCAAATATGAACCAGTTGCTAAGGGTCCGAATTTTGATCATGTGACCACAGAGATGCTGCAATGGTCATAAACATGAAAAATAATCATAAGTCAATTTTTTTCAATACTATTGTAACTTTGAATGGTCACTAACAAACTGTTGTAAGTCAAGGACTACCTGTATAGTGAAAGTTGCCAATTTCAGGGATAATTTAATTGTAGGCCATTTAAATAGATTTGTTTAAGCTCATATTTATGAGCTCTTTGTATTACTGAAAATACTACATGTACTTGTGCTAAGAATTGTAATTTGGAATAATCTTAGTTTTCCAGTTATATCTACTAGTGGATGTTGAGAATCATATTGCCCCACCTACAGATTCATTTGGATGAGTAATCTAAGAAATTTTTAGAAAGAACCTTTGTTATTAGTTTCTACTTGATTAGAAATTAGCTGATTTGGGTTCATAAGATAAGTAGACATGAACTTGGATGAGAGACAACCAGAAAAATCTTAGAAATATAGACTAGATTGAGAAATTAAAAATTATTGCAGGAGATGGTAATGACAAACAACTTCCATTTCTTGCTAAATAACTGGACTCAAGGAAGTCCTTTCTACCGTGTGATTAATTTTGTGGGATTGGAGCATGAAAACGAATTGTTTCATATTGCTTGTTAAGTATACCGTTGAAGGGTGAAATTATGAAATGGTTTCCCATGTTTCTTGTTTCTTTCTATGTTGAATTTGGTATAAGAGCATTTTAAAAAACCGAGTTAGTTCCATCTTCTGAGAGCTGTGCCTGAAAAACATTATTTCCATATACGAACCTTTGTTTTATCTATTTTCCTTTCTCGTTACTCTCCTTGTGTTTTACCCTGGCAATAGAATTAGAAGAACAAACCTGTCTTTCTTGATATACTTCTCAACTACCTACACTATGTACACAATCATTTATCCATGTAACAGTAAATCCATAGAGCTTGAAGTAAAATTGATTTCATCTTGCAGTTGCTAGAGTGCAGAAAGATGATTTTCAAATTAGTGTTTGAAGTTTTATTATTGATCATGTCCTGCCAGAGTGAGAGGGAGACATTTCTCTGAATGCCATTGTGACAAATAAAAAAATAGCGGTGGATATCCTTAGTTATTTTTGTGCTTCAGATATAGTGAAAGGCATTAAGCAGGAAAGTGTCTTATCCAGGGCTTTTTTTCTCAGAGAAAAGGTGGTGGAACTCACCTCCCTCCCCTGGCCACGCCCCCACCCAAACCTGGCCACGCCCTCATCAAACCCTAGGACCGCCCCTTTAGAGAACAGGAATGCAAGTAAAATTTGGGAGGGGCTTTTGCTCTGAGAAGCCGCGCGCGTTTGGCTTTGAGGGCGCCGGCGTGAGAGCCT